GGCGACCTGCATTCCCACCCCTGGTGCCTGTGGGACAGACAGGAGGTGGAGCCTGCCTCTGAGCAGGAGGGGTCTGGGTGCTGACTAAAGGCATCACCTTGGTTTCTCTCACTGGTAAAATGAGAATAACAATGCGTCTTAGACCATCATAAGTGGAATTGTGCCTGTAAAGTCCTTGGCATAGGGCCTGGAATCAGCAAGTGCCCAATAAATAATAGCTACTCAATTCTTGGGGATGAGTATTCCAGAAGGCTCCACCGCATAGGCCCTGGCACCACATGCTGTGTGGGAAGAGCTTGCCACACGCCCGTGTCCTACAAGCAGCCAGCCTTCCCTTGGTGCTGGGCTGAGCAGGGGGCCTGGCAGTTCCCAGAAGGCTTAGAATCGTGCTTCCCACTGGGGCTTCCTGCACAGCCTGGGAGACGGGCCCTGCTGAGCGCTATACCACACGAGGAGGCCGGCTGACACCGAGGGGCTGGTGATTCCCCAAGGCCACTCAGCTGGCCCTGGAAGCTGACTTTAGGTAGAGCCAGGGACTCTCCCTAACCTTCTCATGTTCCATAAGAAGTCTTCCAGCTATTGACCCAAAGTCAGAGGGAGTTACGTGTTCCTTTGTGCATAGTTATTTAGCATCAGCATTAGCACCAGCCGCATGCCAGGCACTGTTCCAGCTGCTGGGTCTGCAGTGACACGGTTCCTGTTTCATGGGCTCCCTGTCTGGAGCGAAGCCAGGCCTAGAATCCAACCGTCATGTTACCAAGCACACGTCCTTCAACTGAGGCGAGTGCCTGTGACATCACCACCACATCCAGTTACCCTTCACTCTAAGTTATATGGACTTCTGGAAGATTCTGAGTGGCATCTCACACACCATCACCTGGGGTCATGCTCCTCCCAGGCATGTTCCCGACTTCTGAGCCATACCATTTTCCATGAGAACACTAAGACACCAAGAAAGGGACATGACTTATCTAGGCCTGCTCAGCAACAAAGTGAGAAAGCCAGGTGGGACTAGAACCCTGGTGTCCACTGTCTGTCTGAGACAAAGTCTCTTCACCACAGCAAAGGAGATGGAGGAGCTCGGGACTGGGCTGCGGGCTGGCGTCAGCCTTCTTGTCCTGAGCTTCCTCAGCCCTGTCCAAGGTGGTCCCAGAGCTTCTACCAGAGATGCCACAATGCTGCCCTTCCCTGGCCCACTGCTCACGGATGGTCCTGGGAAGCCACACCGAGATTTCTGGTCTGGGCAGAGGACATCCCTGGGAGGGGAGAGATGTGGATTGGGGGTGAGTGACGCGTTACATCCAGCAAGCACACCTGCGCTCGAGCAAAGTAAAACAGCTCACAGACAGCAAGGATAGCTAGGGCAGCCCCACTCACAGGACAGAGACGGGGCCCGGCACCTCTGCAACACACACTCTGCCTCCCCCACAGGCCTAGAACTCCCCAAAGGAGCCCAGGGTTCTTAGCAGGTGCCATCTGCTCTACTTCCTTCTTCTCTGGGCTTCTGCCTTTTTATTTCCAGAGATGCCAGAAGCCACGTGGTTCCTCTGGTTCCTCTGCTCAGTGCCCCCTCGGGGCTGAGCAGGGGCTTTGGGGTTTTTGTTCTGTGGGTGTGGTGGTTTCCGAGCCCTCACAACGGAAAGCCCACAGGTTGCTCTGTCTGCGGGACCCAGGCCTGTGCCTCCGCTGGCTGAGCTGACATCAGCAAACGAGGCATGAAAGGGAACATTCAACCTGGGAATTTTTTTGCATTACTGCAGATTGAACCTGAGCCTTTTTTTTCTTTTTTCTTTTAGATCGGGGTTTGCTAAATCGCTGAATTTGCTAGTCACCAACCTAGGCTTGAACTTGTGATCTTCCTGCCTCAGCCTGTCCGAGTACTGGAATAACAGGTGTGTGCCTCATTCAACCTGGGTACTTATTAATGCTGTATAACCAGGTATTTGTAGCTTTCTATCTGCATGTGGGATTTCATTTCCCAGCCCTCATGGGGCTGGCCAGATAGGGCCATGTGAGAGTAAGATGGGAGAGGCCTAAGTTCATCAGACCTTCCAGGGCTCTCTTTTTTTTTTTTTTTTTTTTTTTTGGTACCTGGAATTGAACTCATGACCTCGCGCTTGCTAGGCAGGTGCTTGTGCCACAGAGCTATATCCCCAGCCCAAGGGTTCTCTTTTTCGGGCCACAAAGCAAATGCCTACCCCTCAACCCGTGTTACATCCTCCGCCTTTTTTAAATTTTACTTTGTGACAAGATCTTGTTAACTTTTCCAGGCTGGGCTCCTGCTTCAGTCTCCCAAGTATCTGGGATTACAGGTGTGTGCCACCATGCCCAGTAAATGTTTGTTCTTATTCCAGTTAACGTGACCATCTTGGGTCAGTGGGGGCTGTGCCCTCTTTCAAGGAGCCAGGGTGATGGAGCAGTCACCTTCATTATGCTCCATGGCACAAAGCAAGACACAGAGTCTCCCTAAGTTGCCCAGGCTTGGAATCTCAGGCTGGAATCTCCCTAAGTTGATCTCAGGCTTGCAATCCTCCTGCTTCAGCCTCCCAAGTAGCTGGGATTACGGTCATGCATCATGGCAGCCAGCTAAAAAGAACTTTAAAAACCACTGAATTGGATAATCCCCAAGATTTTCCAAGGAGAAATGGAAAGAACTCCTTACGGGCAGCGACCTATCCTTGGTATGCATTTCTCCAGCAAGTATGTATACAGCATGTGGCAATTTACCAGGAGCAACTTATTTATTTTACCATCAGAATTTACAATCTCTGGTCTAAAAACCAGTGAGGTGAGGGGGAAAATGTGAGCTAGCAATGCAGTGGAATATTATGCAGCCTTACTACACAATAATTTTGAAAAACAGTTACTCAAGTGAGAAACTGAACGAGAAAGTCAGATATGTAATTATATATCGATTTCAAATATGGATTTGATATATCAAAAATACTGGACAATTATGACAGCTCCTCAAAAAAATTCAACATAGAAATACCAGAGGATCCACTCATCCTACTTGTAGTTAGATACCCAAAAGCATTGAAAGCAGGGACTTGGAGATATCTATGTACCCATGTTTAAGCACGATTATTCACAGAAGCCAAAAAGATAAAACCAAATCAAATGTCCGTGGATAGATAAATGGATAAACACAACACGGCGTACATACACAGTGGAAGGTTATTCCGCCTGATGAAGGAAATTGTGGCATACCCCACAACACAAGAGAACCTTGATGTTCTCATGCTAAGTAAAAGAAGTCAGACACAAGAGGGGAATACTGTATGATTTGATCTATATGAGGGGAAATACTGTATGACTTGACTTATATGAGGTGTGTAGAGTAGTCAGATTCACAGAGCCAGAAAGGAGAAGAGTGGTTGTCAAGTACTGGGGGGAAGGGAAGGGAAATCATCCTCTAATTGGTACTGAGTTTTTGTTTGGGATGATGAAAAAGTTCTAGAAACAGAGGTGGCGAAGGTTACACAATGTTGTGACGTTACTTCATGCTGCCGCACCGTACACTCAAGGATTACAATGACAAATTTGATGTTATATATATTTTATCACAATTTTAAAAATTACTAGGTTTACATGGACAAGTAGTGAAATTCACGCAAGGAGATTGGGGAAGAATGGCCAATTTATTCTTTCTACCTCTTTGCATCTTCAACTGTCCTACGATGAGAATATATATTATTGCAACCAGACAAAACAATATTTAATGAAATAAATCCAATAGTTCACAGACACCCTCCAAAAATGCATTGTTGTTCTTATAGAAATACAACCATACTTTCTGTACTTAATTAATAAAAGGAGCCAAGTTCAAGGATGCCTATTATTTACAGTCCAAGCTTCTGAGTCCAAAAAAAAAAAAAATGACAGGCAGAGTGGTCTCCTAAGACAAATTGTTCTCATCGTTATTTAAATAAATTTCAAATAAAAACGGAACCAAAATAAATCTTTTAATGAGCCTCCCCAGAAACTGTCTGGCTTGGAAAAGTTCAACCGCAAACCAAGGAGAAAAAGAGAAGTACAGGAAAGTGGGCAATGGCCCGTGTTTGTGCAGGATATTAGCTCACTGCAGCTGGGAAAGTGACTTGGTCCGTGAGTTTCACCCTTCATGAAGGGCAGAATTCAGAATCCAGGGGAGCCTGCCACTCACATTCATTGCGGACTTGTTCCTTCCAACACTCTCCATGCCAGATAAGTGTTGAACAAATATTTAAAGAATATTGGTTTGAAGGGCAGCCAAGCACTCTGCTGCCAGGGTGGCCTGGTCCCTGGCTACAGGGACCCAACTTTCCTGGCTCCTGGCTGGACAGCAGAATTATCCTCAGCGTGGGTTTCAGGAGCTGGAACAAACTCCTTAAATTGTACCCATTCCACTGTCTGTGTGACCTGTCCTTAGGCAGCATCCTCCAGAGCAACACTGTTCCTATCTAACCAGTAGGAAGTTGGGCCTTCCACAGCGTTGCTGCAAAGGCTAAGTGTCGCATGTGTAGTGTCACACCACTGTGAAACACAGGGTGTTGTATTCCTTTATGGTGTGAGCAGGAGGAGGGGAGTTTGCGAAAGTGTAGTCAGAGCTGCATGGCAGGCTACTGGATTACAGCAAAGCAAGGGGTGAAGATGAAACACCCTAGACCTGGCAGCCCACCCCTGTGCCCCAGGCCCAGTTCAGCATTCATTAGCCTCAGGCCCTTCCCAGAGAGCGGCGCAAGACCAGCAGGGTAGGAATGTGGGCTCCTACGCAGAGGAAGACACAGAGGCACAAGGATGTTTTAACTCTTCTTCAGTGTCATTGTGAGGAGATGGCCAGTTTGAGGGTTTCCTGAAGTGCCCTTAGCATGAGGAAGGAGTAGGATTCTAGTACTGCAGCCCTGCCACAGACCTCTGTTATGTTAATCAATTCCCTCTCTCCCTGCTTAACTTTAAAAGATAAAAATAAAACAGGGGAAGCAGAGTCTTGGAGACAGCACACCAGCCAGGCCTCAGGGTTCTCCCAGGTAAAGAGGGGGGCTATGGACTGGCACCCAGCCTTCCCCTCAACAAACCCCTTCTCTTCCCATCAGCTTTCACAGGAAGGTCACCTCCTGGGGAGGTCTCCCAGGTCGCTAGCTCACAGCACCCTCTTCTGAAAGGGCCGCATGGTTACTTTGTGGTCACACCCACACCCAAGCCTAAGGCCCCTCCTTACTCACCAGCTGGCACAGGGAGGATCTTCGGGGGTATTTGGTGTGTGTTGACTTGAAAATGGGGTTCTAAGGGCTCTGCCAGGGGCCACCTGTGTGATCTTAAGAACGCTCCCTCCTCTCCCCACCCACAGCCACCTCCACCTCCAGCCTCAGATTCTCATCAGTGAAACTGGAGAACTAGCTTTCTGCCAGCTCCCCGCTCTTTGATTTAACAACCTCAAATTAAAAAAAAAAAAAAAGAAACAACAAAAATTCAATAGAACTTGTGATTCTGGCAGGGACTGTTTTGCGGTTCTCTGGGCCTCTATTTCTGCATCCACACAACGAGGGTTTAGACCCAATATATTAGTCTCTTTCCACCTCAAACCCTTACAATTCTGGTTAAAAAATAATAATAATAAAGGCTCCACCCTCCCCCTGGCCCTTCACCTACAGCTCCACTTGGGTCCCAGGGTACAAACAGGGAATGTGTCTCAAGCAGCGGATATGCAGCTTGTGGCTCTGTGGCCTGGTCAGGCTGAAGGGGCAATAAAGTTTCTGAGCTTTCCAGATAAAGCCCAGACCCTGGGCCCAAAGACCCATCTCATTCCATACGGGAGGAGGGTGCTGTTCACCTCTGTTTGGGTCTCCCCTCCCTATCATTCACAGGAGATGCCACGGCGCGGAACGGGCAGATTAGCAGTCTTGGAGTACCAGGGTGAGAGCTCTGGGCTCCAGTCTGGCCCAGGGTGACCTTAGGGAAACCTCCACCCTTCCCCACTGACTTGAAGGTTTTCTTTTTGCTGGCAGAGCTGTTCCCGGATGAAGGGCGCCATCTCATTTCGTGTGTCTCAGTCCCAAATCTCTCCCTTCGCATGTGACCTGAGGACATTTCTCAACCTTCCCAGGCCTCAAGTTTCCCCATTTGCACAACTGGAACCGTAAGGGTTCCTACCAGCTGGGTTTCTGCATGAGGAAGAGGAAGGGCTCCTAAAAGTGCTTCACGCAGTGTCTGGAGAGAGGGAAAAATGTCCAGTAAGTGTGAGCTATTATTGTTTTATTATTTGTTTAATCTGCTTCTTGGATCACTTCCTCTTCCCAGTTTGCCCATCTGTAAAAAAAGGACCCCACAGACCATGTCTTAGACCTACCGCTGAGAGAAAGCCAATCTAAATAGCATGTTGAGCCAAGCACAGCAGGGGAAGGGAAGAGGAGGAAAGACAGGAAATTCTATGATGTTGCCCCCGAATACAAGGATTTGGGGACTGGCTGCTGCCCCAGGTTGCTGGGCACCAGAAAAGGCTCTCAGTGGTCCCCAAATTTAGTAGCAGAGGGAATGTCCTGGGCCCTATCCCAGTGTTCCTTGCCCTGGACAGCACAGCAAGTAGAGGCTGCAGAAGATGTTGACTTTGGATTTATTTCTGTCCCTGCCTCTGTCCTGAACCTCACAGGAATAAGAGGAGGCTGGACTCAGTTATCTCAGCTCCCAGAAGTGTGGTGAGTGGATGGATGTCTCTGTCCAGTGAACTACTGTGTCTCACCTCTGAGGTATAGGAGGGGTCCAAAGGAGTTCCTGGGACCCATCCAGACCTCTGTATTCTTACCTGCAGAGTACAGATGCTCAAAAAACATGCTCCTTGACTTACGATGGTAAGGCTTATGATTTTTTTACTTTACGTGGATATGCATTCCATAGAAACCACACTATGAATTTGGATCATTTCCTGGGCTAGTAATACACACAAAGATTCTCTCCATGATTCTTGGAAGCCACAGTGCCTCAGTCACCAGAAACACTTGTAGTGAATTGTCTGCTAAGCTAGGATATTCTGTTGGTTAGGTATATTCAATGCATTTTTTTGTTGTTGTTTACTTTTTGATACAGGGTTTCACTAGGCAGTTCAGACTGGCTTTGAACTCACTTTGTAGTCCAGGTTGGCCTAGAATTCACCTTGCCTCAGCCTCCCAAGTGCTGGAACTACAGGCATGCACCACCACGCCCAGCCATCAATGTATTTTTAACTTGTGATATTTTTAACTTAGGATGGGCTTATTGGGATAGAACCCTATTGTAAACCGAGGGGTATCTATATCTGGTTGGCCAGGGCCTGGGGGAAAAAAAGGTCTAAAGTCTGTTGATGATGTCACCCAGCTCAGTGGCTCTAAAAATGTGGTCCACAGACAGACGCTGAGGCACAGAAATTGAGAGTCATTTTTACTGCATTTTACCAAAATACCAGTTCTCAGAGTATTAGAAATAAAGGTATGGCCATGCTACAATATAAAAAAAGAATGCAAACAAGAAGGACCATGTTTGGTACTTCCAGGGCTGCTCTACTTGGCAGTGTGCTCTAGGGCCAAGATGGAACCATGGGTCCCTGCCTTGCTGGAACCACTCAGCCAGTGGACTGTGCTGCCTGACCCTGGTACATCGGGCCATTGTAACCTTAAGAAGGCTGCCTCTTTTTTTTACCTAGCCCAGAAGGCTAGGCTGGGACCACCCAGGGACATTCAAGGAAAGCTGTTTTGAATTCGATGTTGAGTAACTGCCCACAGAGGGAAAATATAGAACTGAAGGACTTCAGAAGCAGTGCCCAGCTCCTACCCTTGAAGATAATACTCTATTACAGATCTCTGGGCAGGCAAAGGGACGCAGAAGGAATGTCTTCATCAGGTACAGAAATTTTCTTACCTGATGGGAACCTTAGGGGAGTGGTGTCTCTGTTCAGACCCTTATCTTTTACAGATGAAAAGATTGAGGCTCAAGGAAAGATGCACCTTATAATAGAGGCAGGATGTGAACTGTAGAAGGCCCCCAGTTTATTCAGTCATTCAATCCGTGTTTACTGTGGGCCTACTATGTGCAGACCAGTGCTGTTCTGAGCACTAGGGATTCAGTATAGCAGTAAACTAATGGATAAAGGAAATAACTACCAGTATCAAATAAAGAATGTTGACATGTTGGAAAGTGACTGCGGCTGTCACTCAGAAATGATCCCTGGGGCCAGCATGTCTTTGGGATCCTCCAAGCCAGTAGTGTTCCAGAGTTAGATCACACTGGCTTGCATAAGCCAACTGTTAAGTTTTCAAAAGATTTTTAACTGACGTGGCAGTTGTACATATTCGTGAGGTACAGTGTGATATTTTAACCCCTGTATACAATGTGCAATGATCCAATTGTTAAACTTGCAGGAGTTTGGCAAGCCAGTCATCAAACACTGTCTTTTGGTTTTTTTGTTTGTTTGTTTGTTTTTTGTTTTTGCTTTTGTTTTTATTTTTTTTGAGACAGGGTCTCGCTATGCAGTTCAGGCTGGCCTTGAGCTCACTCTGTAGCCCAGGCTGGTCTCGAACTCACAACAATCCTCCTGCCTCAGCCTCCTAAGTGCTGGGATTACAGGCGTGTGCCACCACACCTGGCAAACACAGTCCTTATTTAAAAATTCAATTAGCTAAATTTACAGTTAAATGAATTGCACTAAGTACGAGGATCATAAAAACTCATCCCTTTCTGATCATTCTATTACATTTTATCCTCTTGCAGTGATTGTATCTCTCAGAGTAGAAAATACTAAAATCAGAGTGGAAAATACTATACAGAGAAGATACTACATATTTTTTCCAGGCTCCCCAAGCAGCAACTGGAAAAGGGCTGTGGTGGAAACATTTACACTATGGAAATTGGCAAGTATCACTTGTCAAAGCATTCGTGTTTTGAAGAGCTGATCACCCGACATCTGCAAGCACAACCAAGGCCAGGCCTCTTGGGTCCGCAGGGGCTACATCTTTCCAGTGGGAGGGGCAGAGGGGACTGCTGAACTCTTCCAGTCCTACGAGGCTACTATGCTGAGGAAGCAAATGTGAAATAGCTAAGCAGACCCGGCAGAAGAACACTGCCTTCCATAGTGTGTATCAGAGGTGTGTGAGGTGGGGGCTCCTCTGTTCATTTGTTTGCTCCTTTTTTGGTAAATTCACCCTGTTTATAAGTGCTGTGGGGAGGCAAAAACTTAAAGGAGTCCAGAAGAGAATCTCTTTGTATACAGGTGTGTGGCTGCCTTTGAATTCTCTAGATTTGCCTACTGGGTTTCCTTCCTTTGAGGATAGTAACTGTACTGATAACTGCTGAGCGTGGTTACTATTACTTCTGCTACCAGTCACTCTAATGGCACCTGCCACTTATGGCCACCTTGTACCAAGCCATCCACACTCAGCTCTAAAATCCCCAACAACTCATTTCACAGATGAGAATGCTGAGGCTCAGCGGTGCAAAGTCTTGCTTGGGGCCAACCTGCCCCTGTGGAAGTTCTCCCAACAGATTTGTTCCCTCCATCGGGTGGCGCTGTGATCCGCCTTGGGCCTGCAGAATTCAGCAGCACTAGAAAGTCTCCATCTCTGATGGCACTGGGGGACTTGGTGGTTGCCCAGTGTGTGTAAGGAGCCCTCTATCCACCACCGGAGCAAAACAGGACAAACGCTCCTGGTCCAACCATCTGTCTCTGGAATACAGACAGGGACTTGGGCCTTGGCCAGGTAGCAACTTTGCACCCTGAGGAAGTGTCACAAAGGCAGACATTGGGGAAATATCCACAGTACTCCCAGTGGTAGCAAGAGCTAGAATTAGGTCCTGCCCAGGACCCTAACCATATGGTGTGTCCAGCCTCTACATCTCTGGCTGGTCTGGTTTTCTAGCCCTGTCAGGAATGCTGTGAGCAACAAAATATAGCCCCAAGGTGTTATGGCTTAGATCTAAAATGCCCTTCCAAAGTCGGATGTGTTCAGAGGTAGGGCTTTTAGAAGATGATTAGTTCATGAAGGTACTAACCTCACTAATGGGTTGATACATTGATGAATTCATTAGCTGAGTGGGCTTATTAGGAGGTAGGGCCTAATTGCACGAAGCAGGTCAATGGGGGTGTGGCTTTCTTTCTGACTCCTTCCTAGCTGCTGTGAAATGTGCAGCTTTCTTCACCAGGCCCTTCCATCCCTGGTGTTTCTGCCTTGGAAACAGCTGACCATGGACTGAAACCTCTGAAACCATAAACTAAATTAAACCTCTCCTTTAAGGTGTGCATGTCAGTTATTTTGTCCTAGCATCAAAAAGATGAGTAATATGCAAGCCATGCCTTTTCTGCATCAATCTCCTTCTGTTCCTACAACCATGATCTCTGACCACTACACTATCTCCTGTGCTACTCAATATTCCAGCCCAAATAGTCACCTTGCACCTCCCACGTTGAATTTTCTTTTTTTATTTTAAAGAGTAAAAGAAGGATAACATAATAATGGGGAGGGCTTACCAAATTACAGACAAAGTGGTAGGAAATTATCAATGGTTATTGTTTTACATATTGTTCCCACGTTGAATTTTCATGTGGCCACAGAATCAATTCCAAAACACTTGATGAAATTTCCACTTGGAAATAACAATTCTCCCGTTCTTTGTGTAGCTCTGGCTAATATACAAAAATAGTTTGCTATAGAAGATACTAATCTATAGACAACCATTAGCAGACCAGACCCTGATCCTGCTCTCAGGGAGCTTTGCTCCCCTGAAAAGAAGCCCTTCCCCTAATTTTGGAAGTGTCTTGGATTTCCCCATAGATGCCAGGCAAGTTACTCCTGGGGACAGCTGTCCTGCTTCTAGAAGATCTCCCCAGGACATGAGGAAGGCAGGCAGCTGTTCCCTCTTGATACCGCCAACACCAGAGTCACCATTCTGGGCAGCCATCCCCTCCCCCTGGGCCTGTTCTCCCCCTTGTGTTCTTCTGTGTCCTGCAGCCACCAGGGCCTCTGGGTTTTGGAACAGCTGAAGGGTCAGAAGGATGGTTTTCATGGTCTCTCCCTCCACCAAGAACACTCTGCTTATTCACTTTCAAGGTAAAGATATGTCTCCATGGAAGCCTTTCCTGGCCACCACCCTACACCAGATCAGCCCTGCTATACACACCCTACACTTCCTCCTCATGACTGTTTACCTAACTAACTCCTAGGCCAGCCTCCACACAGACAGGGACTGGGTCTACCTGGCATACTACTACATCTCCAGTATCAATAAATCCTAGATGAGTTAACAAATGAAGGCATGGAATGATGGCAGATCAGAGAATGTTGAATAACCATCAGATTCACAGCTCAAGTCCTCAGGAACAAGTCAAGATGCACAAATCCAGGGGCCCGAAACGTCAAGATGGAGCCCAACACGGGAATCCCTCCAGGGGTAGCAGCTGCTTCTTCCTTGTGGGTTTTGGTTTAAGAATCCATTTCTTGTGGACTTGGGCTTCTTTTTCCTATTTTTTTTTTTAACTCCAGGTGTGGCTCAGAGAACAGTGCTAGAACCATGCTTTGTGCCATTGGCTGACAGGGAAACTGAGGCTCGCATAGAACCCATGGCTGACAGCAAAGTCTTGGGTGGGATGTAGCCACCTCCTGTTCAGCCCAGAGGTCTATTTACTGTTCCACCCCACAACATTTAAAGCAAAGCTCCCGAGGATGAGCACACCCAACCTGAGATGAAAGGAACTCTCTCTGCAAGAATTAATCCCCTGGCCCCCAACTCTCCTCCAAGCCTCGTCCAACTATAGCTTTCCCTCCGATGATTTCCACCTGGGCCCCAGTGAAGGTCGCTGCAGTAGCCACCACCACCCCGTCACCTTTGTGGAGCCAAGCCACATTGTCTGGAGTCTGAATCTGGTTCTTATGCCTCGGTTCTGCCACTTCATTCCTATGAGGCTTTGGCCGAAACCTTTGCTATGATTTGGATGTAAGATGTCCAATCCAAACTCTGTACAAGGCTCATGTGTTCAGAGGTGGGAATTTTGGCAGGTGATTGGATCACAAGGGCTCTAACTTTATCAGTTAATTCAACTCAATCCATTGAAGAGTTCATAATTTGATGGCACTGTTGGGAGATGATGGAAAAAGGAAATGGGGCCAACCGAAAGGAATGGCTTATGGGGGCATGACCTTGGGGACTATATTGGGTCCCAGCCTCTGGCCCCCTCCCGACCACATCTTCCCAGCACCTCTCTCTCTCTCTCTCTCTCTGCTTGCTGGCTGCCATGAGGTGAGCAGCTTTCCTCCGCCCTGTCAACCTGCCACCATGATACTTCTGACTCACCACAGGCCTAAAAGCTATGGACTGAATCTTCCGAAACCATAAGCCAAAGTAAACCTTTTGTCTTTTAAATTGCTTGTGCCAGGTATTTCTTGCAGCACCAAAAGTCTAACCAACACAACCTTAAAACTTTAAGCCTCCCTTTCTCCATGTGTAAAATGGGGGAAAGAATTACTGCTCTGCCGACTACACAGGGTTTTTGTGAGGCCCAGGTGAGAGGAATGTATATATGATCTCACATCTCAAACTGCTGACCAGGGTAGATAATACCAGCCACAATCATTCTATAATTATTTTTCTGCTTTCCCAGGTTCTTGCTGTCAACCTACAGTCAGTTGATCTCTTCCAGGGCCCCTTTTTTTACTCACCCTTTCTATATCACTCAACCATCCTGACCACAGCCCTCTCCTTCAGCTTTCCAGACTTGCTTGCTCTAGATGCCCTTTCTCCAGCTCAGCTCACTCACTCTCTGAGCTGGGCGTGGCTCCAAGTGGCAGCTCCACTCTTTTTCCTGCTATCCATATTTGCCAACAACACATGATTCTGACAGGAACCTCAAGAAGCCCCTGCCTATCACCCAAGTCCCTCATGGGTGTTTGTTCGGGACCCCTTGGACATATGCATGGGAACACAAGGCACTGGATCTCCACCCCCACCACCCATCCCACTGCTTTATGAGACTCTATTTGACAATAAAAAAATAGCAAAAAGGTCACTGAAGCCCAAATCTAGAGAACTCCTACGGCCTGGACTGCAGGTCAGTGAGGCCTACAGCCTCCACACTGAGCTTGAGAAGCTGAGCAGATCAGCTCTTTGGCCAGAGATTTTGGCAACAATTTTACTTCCTGTTTTTAGAGCCAGAAAGACTTTCAGAAAGAATCCTAGGTTAAGTATTCTCAATGGTGATCTCTTTGCCAGCAAAACATCGACTAAATCTATATTCCTCTTAGACTTCGCAAGTTAATCCAACCAGGCTCTCTCTCAGGAGCAAAGGTAATGCTCCCTCAGCAGAACTTTGCATGCAGGCAGAGTGGTGAGGTGCCTGCCCCAGGTCTGACAGCCATGAAGGATGCAAACTCAGAGGCCACAGTGAACCAGAGCGTGTCAAGCAAAGTGCTCTGTGGTCACGTGAATGGTGTTCTCTCTGGCTCAGGCAGCTCATAGCTGAGGAAGTAAGAAATACTGTAATGATGTGGCAGAAATGTAGCAGGGGCCATGTACTGCAGGGTGACTGGGGTGCTGGTGGGGAAGGAAGGAATGCCTAATCCACGATGGGCAGGGGAAAGAGATTGGCTTCACGGAGAGGGTAGTGATTAAGTGGGATTTTGAAGGATGAGTAGGAGCCTGCAGGTGGATTTAGGGAGGAGTGGAGAGAGCATTCCAAGCAGAAGGAGCAGCAGGGGGTAAAGCCCAGAGGTATTAAACCAGGAGAGAATTCAGGAATTTCAGCAATTTCCAGAGGCTGGAGCAGGAAGGTCGTAAGGGCAGAGTGATATGGGGAAGTTCAGAGTGCAGCTCATACGGAATCTTGCATGTCTCCTAACCAAGTACGTGTTTTGTCCTGAAGGCAGTGGAGAACATTGGGAAGATCAGAACATGCCAACGGGTGTCTGGCGAGAAGATGTTGGACTGCAGTGACAAAGTATGCTGGAGGAGACCGGGGAAGGAGACCACAGTGGGGGGCCAGCCTGGAGGGCTTGCACCTGAACTCGGTGGGGGTGTGGGGCTGGAATTAAAAGGACTGTTTAGAGAGTTGGTAGAGACAAAGGAGAAAATAAACCAGGCCATAGATTTGATGGCAGGGGAGAAGTGCTATGGTTTGGATAAGTGTCCTCCAAAGGTCTGGGGCATCCCTGGTGCTATTGGGAGATGATTGGACCTTTAAGAAGTAAGGTGCAGTGAAAGAAAGCCAGGCCATTAGACGCAGGCCTTAGAGGAGACACTGGGACGCAGGGCCTTTCTCTTCCTCTTTCTCTGCTTCCTGGATGTCAGGGGGTCAACAGGCCTCTGCCACATGTTCCCACCATGATGTACTGTATCACCAAGGCCCAAAGCAACCAACAGATCCAAACAACCATGGACTAAAACCCCTGAGACCGTGAGCCAGAATAAACCTTTCCTCTTTGTAAATTGATTCTCTTATGTTTTTTATCACAGTAACAGAAAGCTGACTAACACAGGGAGGAGAAGAGGGGTTAAGTCTCAGACAGAGGGACCAAATGTGCAAAGAGACAGAGATCAGAAAGACACTGCCACATTTGAGCAACTGCTCTGGAGAGTGGGCCATGTGATGATGATTAAATTGGAGAGACAGAGAATGGTGGAGAGCCGTATCTGGAAGTGATGGTAGTGCTCCCTCTTCTGCGGTTTTGAGTTTTGCAGTATCAGTTATTCACGATCAGCCACAAGTTCAAAATATCAAATGAAAGATTCCGGAAAAAACAAGTCGTAAGTTTACAGTTGTGCACCATTCTTTGTAGCACAATTAATGAAATCTCTTGCCATCCTACTCTCTCCAGCCCGGGACATAAACAATGATTGTCCCTTTTCCCAGTGTATCCTCACTGTGTATGCTACCCACTGTCAGTCACCAACTACTTCAGTTCATAGTATATATACACAGTTCACTACTGTCTGAGGTTTCAGACATACCCTAGGGGTCTTAGAATGCATGCCCCACAGATAAAGGGGTGTATTGCATTGACAAACATAGATGGTCAAATGGATTATTGTTCTCAAGTATTCATTCAGTACCAGCAAGCAAGGTATATATCTTTATGAAGTTGAGTCCGGGCTTGGTAACTGTCTGGAAAGTGGGTGGAAATGACAATGAGCACAGGGTAGAGGTTTTAAGAGAAATTATGTCATCATTTTCTTGCTGCAGTTCTCAGTATGCAAACAGCATGTACCTGAAGCAGCTCCCTTAGCTTGGATCCTAAAATG